TCACTGGGATTTTTTTATTTTTATTTATCTATTTTTTTGTTCTTTTGTTTTCAACGTTGTTTTCGGCATGTTGTACTTAAAATATTATTTAGATTTTTTTTACTTTCATTTTTTCCCCCAAGTATCACTTAATTTTTCTTTTATATATTTTAAGATTTTTTTTTAATTTGAGTTTGAATTTTCTTACATCCATGCTCACAATTAACAGCTGGATAGATGCAGAATTTAAATCAAGAAAAGTATTAATGTATCTGTACATGATTTTAAATTATATAAATATAAGAACTATACATATCTATACACACACATGCACTCATACATTCATACTCAGATATACCATGCATCATACACTTACATAAAACCATGCTAAATGTCATAAAAGCAACAATATGCAATACCAAAATTACCCCCAAAAACTGCAGCTATCTATCTTGTGTTTTATTCAGCTCTGTTTTGTATAATCTGACTGCTGTAGAAGATGATTACAGATTTATTTGTCACATGTATGTGTGTAATCGCTCTGCAATTAAACCGAACTGCTTAATTACAGCTTAACTAATTAAACTGAAACAACTAAATGTAATAAACAGAAAGAGAAAACACAAGGAAAACAAACAGATGTGCGAGTGTTAAAACTGAAACCAATTTCTCAAGTTTTGTGTCAACTGAAAACAAACTAGGAATTAAAATTTATAGCCTCGTGCGCGCGGCGTCAATGAATCATTTCTTTGTCTGCTGTCATCATGTTCTCCACGCTTTCATAATGAAGATAACTGAAAGGTGTATTCACCTTGAATAGCATGATCCATACATTATGTGAGGCAATGCAGTGGAAAAACACATTCACCTGCATACCTGCACACACACCTGTTAACACCCTCAGGAAGAAGCACCTGTTCACTGCCTCTGTTTAACCCCCCCTTCTCCCCTCCCTTCCCTTCCGCTGCTCAAACCAAACATCTATGGGCTGTAATCAGTGTCTGTGCGATAAATATCTGCAGCCAACAGCACCACGTCTCACAAGTTGTGAAGGACATTAAAGTGTAACAGGGGGATGTTTTGATGACACACTGGCTTCCTGTGCCGCAGAGTCGACTTGTGCTGTTGCTTTATAAGGCACTTAATGGTTTAGGGACAAAGCACATGTCTGAGCTGCTGCTCCGTTATGAAACATCCAGATCTCTCGGATCATCTGGGACACATCTGCTTTGTGTCACAGAGTCAAGATTAAACACAGGGATGTTTTTATGCATCATGTGCTTGGAACAAACTTGAGATCTGCTCTAGTAGAGTTTAAGACTTTTCAGTTTGCATCTGCCTTCCATGAAATCACATCTTGCACTACACTGTAGGTGTTCTGTCATTTGTATCCCACTGTTCAGCCTATTTTATTCCATGCTAATTTACTTGTATTTTTTATTTTACTCTTTGAAAATCAGGTGCGTCTTTTCACATTGCCTTGTGCTTTTTATGTCGCACAGAAAGCACTTCGTGTCGTTGAAAAATGCTATCCCTGCCTTACCTTAATTCACATAAGCATACTTTTATATAATTAAACCAGCTCTGTCATGCACTTATGAATTATAGATCTGTATAACGTGTATTATACATGCAAAATCTAACTGCAATCCACCTGTAAAACACGCACACCTGGAGCAGCTTGCCAAAAAAACCAAACCTAATGCCTCATTTCACTTTCATGTGAAGCATTCAGGTATTCACTGTGTCAAATCATTGCAGGCAAGAAGTGAAATTTAAATGCCAATCAAACATCAAACAACAACGGAGAATGTGAATGTGTTGGCTTTCGATTTGAGCACAATGGGACAAGCTGACAGTGTCCTCCCAGCTGTGGTGTTTCACTCCCTCTGCTGGTTAGCAAATGAAATGTGGGGCGAGAGTGTTATTTCAGAGTTTGGGTTAAAAATTGAAGAGCTCATTTTGTCGTTTTGCCTCCAATTCAGAAGTCAAGTTAACATCTGAGGCATGACTATTGTCATAAACATGTTTTTTTTGTTGCCAGCTTTAGTTTAGGTTCAGTCGTGCCTATTAGACAGCAGTGACACATGGAAACCTTGAACCACTTCTCACTGGTGTCACCACAGCTTCTGCACTTTGCCATATTTCTTGCCAGTATTTCACATGGAAACAATGACTCATCAGTTGGCCCCATGATTTCTCTGTATAAGAAATATGAAAGAAAAAAAAACACCCTGCACCCTTTGCCGCTCACACCCTTCATTGACCTGCCTTTGTTTTTTCCACAGCTCGTGTTATAGAAACACTGCTGCTGACGTACTATGCTGCCGTGTTCCTCCTTCACTGCTGCAGTGACACAAAGAGGACACAACACATGCCATCAGTGTTAGTCAGGATTATCATATGATGCTATTATGACATTATTATTCCTTTTATTCATACAGTCAGATAAAGATCTTTTAAAGATGTGAGGAAATGCCCTGTGTGTCACTGACATGTAGTCTGGGTGTAATGGATATTAAGACTTTAAAACATATGTAATTAGGTTTGGATGAGTCCTGGGTGTCTGGCTAATGACGCCAGGCAGTGCTTTAAATGAGAGAATTTACTGTCATTTGAGAACTCTTTAAAGTGATCAATATCCTCTTCCTCAGCGGTAAATGCTCTGGGATCAATATCATTGACTGTCTCAGTGCCAGCTCCAGGGCACAGCTTACTGTCGTGAAGTGGTACTGCAGACTGCAGGCTAAAGTCATGAGGCACACCTGTATTTGTATCTGTGCACAATAGCCTTTATAACATGTGTTCTCACTCTTATCACGACATGAATGTTTGTTTGTATTCACTAATATCAAATAACAATTGACAACCAACTATTACTCATGAAATACTTATTAACCAAATGATTCAAGAATCCATTTTAAACGTTTTAAAATTACATCAAAGCACCAATAACACATCAATTTAAACAGGAAATAATGTAAGATAATGTAAGATTATATGATGTGTCACACACTTATAATTGCCACTTGAGAATGGCAACAAATAGGTTCACTGTGAAGGTTTTTTAAAATTAAATTAAGGGAAGCAAAAAACAGGCAAACTCTGCCTAAAAATGAAATTTAATTTAATTTAATTTAATTCAATTTGATAAAATTGAATTACATTAAATTAAATTATATTTTTTAGGCAGAGTTTGCCTCTTTGTTAGGAAAAGGGTGTGCACAACATGCTGATACAGTCATTTAAAATTTAATAAATAATTTAATTTAATTCAATTTGATTAAATTAAATTCAATTTGATCAAATTGAATTGAATTAAATTGAATTAAATTGAATTGAACTGAACTGAATTGAATTAAATTAAATTAAATGATATTTTTTCTTCTCTTTGTTAGGAAAAGGGTGCGCACAACATGCTGATACAGTCATTTAAAAATTCATTCATAACTTTTTGTATAGGCCCAGTTAAATATTTCAGTAATAACGTGTGGTTATCACCTGTATTTGCACCATTTGAAAACCACTGGGGTAGACTTTAGTTTTATTTTGTTTGTTTGTTTGTTTGTTTTAAATGATCATCTTGCTCCCCTCAGTTGGGGTGCATCCCGATTCTCTTTTTTTTTCTCCAAAAAAAAAAAGAAAATCTTAAAAAAACCAATAGCAAAGACATGTACAACATTCGTCATACAAGAAATTTGCACCTTGCACCTCAACGTCTTTAAAACAAAAGTGATGCTTATTGACTTCCGCTGTGAGGGTCTTAAGGACAGAGGGATGTCGTATGCTGTAAAGCCCTGTGAGGCAAATTGTGATTTGTGATATTGGGCTTTATAAATAAAATTGATTGATTGAATTGATTGATTGACTTTTGCCGAAAGCCTTCAACACAATACAACACAATACAAGACAGCTGCTGGGCATCATACTGGATGACAAACTGGGTTTCACTGCCAACACTGACTCCATTTGCAAAAAGGCCAATCGGAGATTATTATTCTTGAGGAGGTGGAGGGGTTTAATGTGGACACATTGCTTTTAAAAATGTTCTACTCCTCTTTAATTGAGACAGTTTTAATATTTGCCATGATCTGCTGGTTTGGCAACCTTAGCATGGCTAATAAAAACAGGCTGGGAAATATTATATTATTTATGGTTAAACTTTGTCGGATGACTGCTGGCACTGACCTGAGAGATCTTGGTCATGTTTACCAGGTTAGAGCTACCCAGAGGTCAAAGGCCATCCTGGCAGGCCCTCATCACTCTCATTCATGTAGAGTTCCATCTCCTGCCATCAAACAGGAGGGAAAAATCAAACAGATATCTGAGGTCTTTTCTCCCATCAGCAGTTGTTTTTTTTTTTAAATTAAGTTGCACTGGACTCTGAACACTGCATCCCATTGCAATTCATACTATGGTGACATCTGTTGTTCGTTATATGTACCTATGTCTATCCATTCATTCATTTTCTGTAACTGCTTACCCTGTTAAGGGTTGCGGGGGGGCTGGAGCCTATCCCAGCTGACACTGGGCAAGAGGCGGGGTACACCCTGGACAGGTCGCCAGACTATCACAGGGCTGATATATAGAGACAGACAACTATTCACTCACATTCACACCTACGGACAATTGTGGGAGGAAGCCCAAAATTGCATGCACTCATAGTTGAACCTTTGTGACAGTGAGGAAAGACAGCTTTATATTAAATAAAGTTTAAAGTTTAGTTTAAAGAAATATACATGTTCAATTATATCAGAGTATGAAATAAATTGTGCAATAAATATGCTTACACTTGCCTAAATGAGTGATAGGATGTGCTGTCCAAATACAGGCTGCCCTGTAGTAAATTCTAGGAATACATTTGTGTGGCAATTTTTCCGTTTTTCAGTCTCACAAAAAGAGAAACACAACCCGTTTTGTTATCTGAATTAGCTATGTGTAAATAAATACTCGTCACTGTCGCGGTCACGTGATTGGAGCGTCACCGCCGTACGTCACAGCGTAGTCTGAGACAGGTGGAATCAAATCCGGAAATGAGATGCTCCGCGTCCCAAAGATGGTGTCTTCTTCAATACAATAGAGGATAAACACACCAGAAAAAATGGTGTTAAACAAATAATGTCGCGACGAGGAGATGAAATATCTGGTAACTGAATGTGTGGCGACTGTTTATGATTTATAAATTGCCTCTGGGGGCGAAAATGTTGGCTATCAGGAGAGCCGACGGAGGCTCGTACACGGTGAGACACTTGACATACGGTAGTTTTTAACCGTCTGTCAATACTTTATTTTTTACTTTTGTTTACACAGCAAATGTTAAAACACCTGTATGATTTTTTTATTTATCTGTCTTATGTGTATTTTGACGTCTAAAACTTTATATTGTCGCAAAACTGTGAAGATAACAGTAACGTTACTGTGTTTAAGATGCCGATGTATCTCTAAAGCTACACGTTTGCCGTATGGTTTGTTTGATTTTAACAACAAATAAATACATTAATATATCTGTCTTTCTTCTTCAGGATAATCTCATTGGGACTTTACTCGCTATTTTTGGAAATGTGCTTGTCAGCATCTCTCTAAGTGTTCAGGTACACACACACACACACACACACACACACACACACACACACACACACACACACACACACACACACAACTTCCTGAAATATGTGCTTATATTAATGTCTGCTGTGCCATCCAAGCGTACACGGCTTTAAAAGTAAAGTTAATATGTCTTCTACGTGGCCTGGTTTTGTGTCTCTAACCTCTGTGTATCATGTCCTGTAATGCTTTGTGTCAACATAGCACTTCCCTTTAAAGCCAGGCTGCCATACTGTATTTTCCAGCTGTCAATAGAAACTGAAATAAATGGAATAACATACAGATATCATTGTCACTGATTCACTGTCTTGCCTGTACTTCTAATTTACAGTAGCTCTACTTCAAAACCATTTAGCAAGCGTTTGTTTGCTTTACGCCTACTCTATATGTTTGCTTTGTTTAAGCTGAGTATACTGCAGTAGGCTTTGTGTTTACTCATGTCACTTTCTGTTACCTGCACGCCTTTCACTCGCAGAAATACAGCCATGTGACGTTAGGGGACACCAAGGATCATCGTGCCTTCTACCGCACTAAGACCTGGTGGTGTGGGTTTGTGCTGGCATGTATCGGGGAGGGAGCCAACTTTGTGTCCTATGCCTTCGCCCCCCTTGCTCTTGTAGCACCCCTGAACGCTGTGTCTATCGTCAGTGAGTATTTGTTCCCCAATCTCTGGATTTTAAACAGACATTTAATTTTATTGTAAACTATTTTAGAAGTAAATGCTCTATTGATGTGATGATTGTCTTGCCTTTCTCTTTTTTTCCCAGCAAGCGCAATTTTGGGTCTCATTTTTCTGCGCGAGAAATCGAAGCCAAAGGAGTTTGCAAGTAAGTTCAGCGTGTGTGTGTGTGTGTGTGTGTGTGTGTGTGTGTGTGTGTGTAACTGAAGACACTCGGATGCAAATGTTATGGGATTTGTGCACATGTATGCAGATTTTCAATCAGCATAACTTGACAAACTACACACTGCCTGCTCAGCTGCTGCAGTTTATGACTGAAGTAACACAGTCAGAAAGTTTTGTTCATATACAGGCCATATTTTGTTGACAAATTAATTTTGTAAGAACTAAAAAAGTCGGGTGTCCCATGTACAAAGGCACCGTCCTTGCCGCAGCAACAAGGATTCCAGATTCATTCCCTATCCTATCTAATAAAGGCATAAAAACCCTCAAAAATAATTTTTAAATAGATACACTGTAAATGTATCTTGAGTTTCGCTGTTATGTTCAGTAGTGTCTCACGAAATCACATTAAAGCAAATGTCCCAAATCATTTCCTGCTTCCTGAAACTGAACACATGTCATTTTTATTCTGTGTGTTATTTCAGAGCAATATGGGCTGGCCTTCCTGGGCTGTATCCTCACCATAGGAGGAACGTACCTCTTTGTAGCATTTGGACCAAACTCTCATGAAAAGCTCAAAGCTGAGAACATTGTGAAGCACCTTGTAGGATGGCCTGTTCTCTTGTATCTGGTAAGGCATTTTCATTTACTGAGTAAGTTCTGAAGCACAAGGCTCCACACACAGTTGACTCAATTTGTTTCTGCTTTTAAATTGACACATATACAACAGTTGCTTTACTTGCTGCACCCATCATTTCTGTTCTGTCAATACAACCCCTTTAAAAGCAATTCAACAGCCCTGTGGTACAGGTTTGGTGACTCATGCTCTATTTTAGCTGTCAAAGCCTTTTAAACAGCTTGATAAGACAGTATGCTGCGTCATTGACTCAGTGTTGGTGAAAGTCTATTTGTTACCGCTGTTCCTCTTCATTGGTTAATCTCTCCATTGTTTGGCGTACGTGTCTTTGTATCTCCCGTAAGTGCGGCTGCAATTGACACACCAGGAATGCAGGCAGTAAACAAAGGTATCTGCACAAGTGAGTCATATTAGGTGGAATACCAATTACCAGTATGTGTCATCTATAATCGAGGTCTGAGAGTCACCATGTTTATATAACATTTAAAGATGTCGCACAGAGGTAATGAGAGGATAGGTAGCTACTCCCTGGATTGCTGGTGTGACAGTCACAAACATTGCGTCATTGTTAAATGTGGACAGGGGTTACTGTCTCCAAATACATACATACATAAATACAGTATTCCAAACACAGGACAGCTGCTTTAGCCAAGAGGGACAGTGGTTAGAAGTAGTCCAGCATCATTAGGGCTACTACAGGACTTGATACCTGAGGTATCGAACAAAATAAGTAATCAAGTAATATCAGAGCCTCTCCAGTCAAAAGACACCTTCATTGATCATCATTTTGTGTACAGATCAGAAAAAAATGACTACTTGTATGGCTTTGCTCACAGCCAATTACAGCAAGTGTTTGTCGATTTAATACGACGTGTGATCGGCCCACTACTGTAACAGCTGCAACCCATACAGTCTGTGGTGACATGTGTTCTTGCATGTGTGTGTAAAAGAGAGAGACATTGATGAACAAAGCTCCTGGTTAGTCTCGCATGCTGATCCAAACTCCTCCTGTTTTTCCTCTGGGTATCCTTATAATGGGTTTAATCAGCTAGTATGTCTGGTGCCGACTAGCAAGGGTAGGAATGTTTAAGTGACCAGTGGACTAACCACGCACATTCCTACACGTAAACATGTAAAATATATTCATTGCAGGGGCGTCGGTGGCTTAGTGGTAGAGTAGGCGCCCCATGTACAAGGCTGTTGCCGCAGCGGCCTGGGTTCGACTCCAGCCTGCTGCATGTCACTCCCTCTCTCTCTCCCCCTTTCACACTTGTCTGACCTGTCCATTAAAGGCTAAAAGCCCCCCCCCCCCACCCCACCCCAAAAAAAAATGCGTAGGGATTATTTCAGGAAGAACATGGAATATGAGTCACGTGATAAAGCACCTCATCAAACATGGAGAGGACCTCAGGGTGGTTAGCTGCACTGTGTTTGCACGGCCAAAAAAAAAAAGATTTGACATGAAGTACTCTGTTGATATCAATGTGACTTTAAGGCACTGAGATTGGTACTTGTATCTGAATTTTTAAACAATACCCAGCCCTAGTCATCAACACAGACTGAGAGACACTTGGTGGGGTATTTCCTTTACACTACAAGCTGCAGCAGTTAAAAAAAGAACCCATCAAATCATGTCAGTCTCAACCACAACGAAACATTACTAAACTGGTATCTTCTGCAGGGCTGCTGTATCGTATCTCATGTTTCTGTTGCTGTATTTAATTATACATTATAATCTTTTGCTCTTCTGGTGCACATGATGTTCAACAAACTTGCACTGAACTCAGCTTCTTCCACCTGTGTTGTTATGAGGAAAAAATATTTGTCACTGCCTGTGATCTGGCAACAACTGCAGTACTTCCTGTTGTGGTTATTTGACATTAATTTGGTATTTGTTGTTGGTACTACTTTTATTGACAGCTCCTGGAGATCATCACATTCTGCCTGCTTTTATACTTCTACAAACAGCGCAGTGCTAACTACCTCGTTGTTATTTTGATGCTGGTCGCTCTACTGGGTGAGTCTTTGGCGTTAATGTTAAAGCCAGTCAATGTCATACTGCCAAAGAATACATCGCCACTTTTAAAAAATTGTATCGCAAAACATGAAAATGACTTTATTTTATTTATGTATTTCATGCATTGAATTGTGATGCCATTGGCAGTTTTTTCTTCATATTCAAAATCTGCTTACACTGTTATCTTGTTAGTTCTGTGTTTAACTGTGCTTTCTTTGTTTTGTTTTTTTTTTACTTTGGTGCACAGGCTCCGTCACAGTTATCACAGTGAAGGCGGTGTCAGGCATGCTGGTTCTCACCATCGAGGGCAACATGCAGCTCAACTACCCGATCTTCAGTGCCATGTTTGTATGTATGGTGGCTTCAGTGATCTTCCAGGCCAGGTAAGTGACAGCAACGTCAAAGACTGAAAAGCGATTTAATTTCTTATTCTTTATAGGTGAACAAAATGTTTTAAGTGGTTGCTGTCTACCTTTTTTTTTTTTTTAGATTTGTCTCCCAGGCTTGTAAGCTGTATGACTCCTCTCTAATTGCTTGTCTCAACTACATCCTCTCCACCATCTTTGCCGTGGTAGCTGGTGAGTAACGTGATTCTTTGCTGTTGATTTTCAGTTTGAGAAGTAGCTTTCAGAGTTGGAAACCTCTGCTTTGCTCCTGCTGCGCACCTAAAGTGTCATCAAAGATTTCTCCTTCTCTGGTTTTCAGGCGCTGTTTTTTACTTAGAGTTTAAGAAAGAAGACGTGCTTCACATCTGCCTGTATTTGTTGGGGTGAGTGATCGTCTGTCGTGGGCCTTTCTGAAAAAGACATGGCATGTTGCAGTAGGAGGAGCACACTATATAAGGACATTAATGATGGCTGAGTTTTATTTAGCTACTTCAGTTTTAGGATCCTGGTATTGTGCAGGCTGACTCACTGTCACGCTGACTATGTTTACATGCACAAAATATTCCAGTTTTTGCCCTTATTCTGAAAAAGAGAACATTCCTACTAAGCTACATCCCTAGCTATATGGCTAATAAAAATGAATATACCACTAATATTGTACTAACATTGTATACATGTCCAAACAATGCTATTCAAACCCTAAATATTATTAGCATATCCCACATGTCTTAATTGGAAAACACTACACTTGGAAAAAAGCCTGTATCAAATTCATATTTTGTCATATTTGGAGTAATAGTAGAATATTAATGTGCATGTGAACATAGTCATTTTCATGGCTTATTGGGACATTTAAATTACTGTATGTCTGTGCTTTTCCTACAACAAGTCAAAATGCCATTGTAATGCTGCAACCAAACACATATAAACATAGAAAACAGAGATTTTGATATCTTGTAAAAAACAGTTGAGCTTTGCATCATTTTTTTAAGTAAAGGTTGTGACTGATTATTTTGTGCTTTGTACAGATCTGCGTTCTGTTTCCTTGGAGTGTTTCTCATCACCAAAACCAGGAAAAGGATCCAGGCCTTTGAGCCTTATGTCACCATGGATATGTCTAACGGTGGGTTTAAGTTTTTTAGAGGGATTTACTTTCCCTCACATACATACAAGACAAGGAGAAAGCTTCATATAAAGGGTAGAAAACGTAAACGTAAATGTACGAGCTTTAGTGTAGTTTGTAGCAGTCCAGAGAAAGGAGACTGATAACACTGTAAAAATCTCATTATCTGAGTCTGTTTTCAAAAAGAGCTTCAGGCAGCGGTTATTACAAATATATGTTAGAGCTTTTAACATCTTGTAAACTACTCTACTCTCAAATCCATTTATATTCTCCACTCGCCATGTGTCTCTGTCTATTGTATCGTTCCTATTTAACCAATGTTTAGACTGATGGAATAAATGTCTCAGGACCATTTAGTCTTTAGGGTTAAGGTAGTTTAGTTTTAAGGGTCTTTGGTCTTATGAGTTTTGTAGGTTGTAAATGTTACTCTGTCAGACATGCACTGTATTTTTTTTTTAAAACCTAGACAATGTCAATGTAAACACATTTTGAATACTATCTGCTTAGTGTTTCAGCCCCTGTTCTAAAGCCTCAGATAGCTTATCAGTAGCGATGTCCCAATTTGATCTCAAAGATCAGGATCGCGGCTGATCAAGACATTTTTTAACGGATCAGGACTGGGTAAATTGAGCTACATAAAGGATCCAATCCTTTGTTAAACGTCAGCTGTCACACAGTTTTTTTTTTTTTACCCACGACGCTTTCATGCAGAGACACAGTGTGCAGCTGTCTCCAACTCTCTACTCTCCTCCACTCAGCTGAGCTTCTGTTTTGTGTGTAAGAGCAGGGGCTGAGCACCGCCTGCGGCAAAACACAACCGACAGTAAAATGCAGCATGAGACTGTTTATCTATTTTTCCATTATTATTAGCGCTTGTTTAATTTCCGCTCAGTGTGAAAGTCTCGTGCATTTATGGAGCGTGTTCATCCACAGGTGGAGTAGAGCTAGACAGCGGTGCACAACTGACGACAACCACACTCACCACGACACTGCAAATGCAACAAAAGCCCTAGAGGCAAAAAGCATATAGAGTTTTATCTTGCAAAAGATAAAATAAAAAATAAACACTGAATGAAATAACATTCATTCAAGCTGCACTGACGCATGAACACTGGAGAATGGGCTGCTCTCTTAAAGGGACTTCCTCGAGGCAGCAACAAGGACAAAAAGATTTAAGGGAGTGTTTGTTATTTTTGACCAATATACTTTTTTTTTTCTTAAATAAATAAAAATAACCATTAAGAAACAGCTTGGATGTAAGGATTTTTTTCTTAATGCATTGCAGAGCTTTTTAGTTGTCAAGCAAACAGGCCTACACTGGATTGGTTTTAATAACTTTAATGTCCTTGAAGTGTGCACTGTGCAGCTGTATTATCTAAGAAAATAGAAGTACTGGATCGGAACTCAGTATTAAGAGATTCTTAGTATTAAATGACTCGGATCGGGGGCAAAAAAAGCAAAAGTTCCTTACCTGTCCTCTCCATCATCAGGTGTCCCAATCATTCACGACAAAGGCACGGTGATTCAGCCAGACTCCAACGGTGCGTTCTCCTACGGCGCTCTGGTCAACAACGATGGAGTGGCTCCTGCTCCTCTGCCAGTCAACCTGGATCAACCATCAGTCGACTCCACATCCAGTGATGCACCTTGGGGCCCTCATGACCTGAAGCAAGATTGAAAGTGATTTTTAACTTTTCTCTTTTACATCATTCAACTGTAAAGAACATTCATGGACCTTGAAAGGCCAAGATGAATACGTTCAGCTCTTCACATATGCACAAGACCAACCTCCAGCCCAGTAGGAGGGTCCACTGGGTCTTTTTAATCTTCTCTTTCTCTGTCTTACACTCCCCTCTACACGCTTTCTTTTCTGAAACCTCTAAACAAAAAAACCATGAGTAGCATTCCTTTTTTTAAGAAGATGTCAGCTGCATTCATTCCAAAACTGAAGGGAGGAAACCTGAAGCTGCTGGACGTTGTAGCGGACGCACAAAGAGGGCCCAATATGACAGCAGAGACGGTGTTGTGCCTTGAAGCTCACTGCCTTCACTCTGCGTCAGCTTTATGATGTTAAGGACTCACTTACATGACTGTTAAGCAAACTTTCGCACATTAGCGGGAACATACAGGGATCCGTTCTTCCATTGAGGGCTGTGATGTCACTCCTCAGAGTTGTATAATGTAGCTGCACACTTGCCAATGAACATTTTGACCTTTAATATCTGCCTCTAACTCTCTTACACATGAGCGGTTTCACTCCACAAGTTTGTTCTCCTGACGTGACCAAACAACGGGTGCAAATGTTGTAATTTATTGTGATGTATTTATTAATTTTCAAGTTAGCTTTTAGCGTGCCTTAATTAGTAGCTGTACACTGGATAGATTACTGTAACATGGTACATAACCCAGGTAGGTGAGTGACGCATCACTGTAGCTGTTCAGTTATGATGAAACCCTTGAAACATTGAAAGGTGAAGATGAATCGAAGTGAATCATGCTTGCATATTGACATACTGATAAATTATTTAAATGTGCACTGTGAGTTTAAAAAGGTAATCTACCTTTGGAAGCATATGTCTGAATTTAGTTTTTAGCTAAAATAATTTGGTTTCCCTTTTAACCTGATGCCTTGAAGTTTATGATGACAGACAAATCAAGAAATAAAACTGAAAGTACGCACTTACTGTTGCAAAATTAACATGTGCTGATCCCTCAGTGTTTTACAAGCTGAACCATTATCCAGCAATAACTGTTTCATAATTAAGTTTAATTAAATACTTCCAAATGAATGAAGGGCTGTGTATATTGGATACTCTCCATGTCTACACACGTGGCAGTGCATTTCTACAGTGTTAATGACGCAGATTCTTTCCACAGTATTCAGTACGTACATGTTATTATGGTTTTATTATCTGTGGTTTGTTGTGTGTACAAACTCATCATTACATCATCATGTAAACCAACTGAAGCCTGTCTTGTTAATAAAACTGCCATCTAATAAAAGCAGAAGAGTTCACTGATGCTGCAAAAGTTTTTTTTACTTTAATTTTTATTGCAATGTTTTGTCATATAAACTTAATAATGTAACCTAGTTGTGGTGTATTTGGTTGCAACAGGCCCTAATATGTGTGTCTCCATTAAATCAGACCGAATATGCCAGCTTGAAAAGGTGTGTTTTCAGGCAGGATTTAAAGTTGGAAAGGGAGTCAATACTGCGAGTGTCGTGACGGGTAGAACGGCTGAAGGCTCCAGAACCCATAGTAGTCAAGCGGGCAGATGGTAATGTGAGTTGGACTGCAGAAGAGGATCTAAGAGTACAGGACGGTGTGTAGCTATGAAGGAGTTCAGACAGGTATGAAGGGGCTTAAAGGTGAGAAGCAGAATCTTAAAATGGATGTGATATTCAACAGGAAGTCAGTGAAGCTGCTGGAGAACAGGAGTGATAAGATCTATATCTACAGCTGAATTCCATTTAGCTGCTTTGATTTCAGGTTCCTGATACCGTATCAGCTGGCTCACTCTTACCTGGAACACTTCTCCATCGTTAGTGTTATCATTAACACTTTTACCTTTGTGACAAGTCAAGATGTCTGCTGTGTGAGAGGCCTGTTTGCAGAAAGGTGCACAAGGTTTGCAACATGACTGCCGTTGAGATTTGGTGGTCAATCTGTGTTTTGTCAGGGTTAAATCACAATGATGTCACTCGCCAGATCTGTCCTAACTGCTTTTTTCTTTAATGATAATCATAAACAAGAGAGTCCTAAGACTGTACCCTGACACTGCAGTATAATAGGCTAACACACTGCGGTATCAGAGTACAGTCATAAACTGTGTGATAAGATATTGATCGTTCTACTAGAAGGAAAACTTCCAGCCCTTCGACAGTGGTGGAATATTACTAAGTACATTTACTCAAGTGCTATGCTTGAGTACAAATGTGAGGTACTTCTTTACTTTACTTGAGTATTTTAATCTCATGCCACTGTTTACTCAACCATATTTGATATTTTAAGTTATCAGTTTCTTAACATTTTCAGGCAAAACAACTAGTTGATTGTTTAGGTGGCAGAAATATTAAGTCTTGTTTCACGCAAAAACATTTCATGGGTCCAGCTTCTCAAATATGAGGACATGCAGCTTTTCCTTTTGTGGGAGCCACAATTATTGTTTGCAAACTTCAACCCATTTCTGTTTTCTGAGTTGACCCCATCTAGTGGCTGTGGATGGATGGGGATAGAGGGTGTGGCCGGAGCAGGAAGAAAAGTCTTTGACTGCAGACACTGTCCTTTTTTTTAGAATACCTACATAAGTAGATCAGAAGTGGTGTTCATGGAAGAAAAGCCATACCTCCAATGTGGAACAAGGTCAAGCTACTCAGTTATGCACGAAAACTGCAGGTGCCCTGGACTGATTAGTCACAATTTGAAATATCTGGCTGCAACAGAAGGCTGGAGAACGGACAATAATGAGTGTCAGTGAAGCATGGTGGAGGTTCCTTGCAAGTTTGGGGCTGCATTTCTACAAATGGAGTTGGGGATTTGGTCAGGATTAATGTCCCCAATGCTGACAGATACAGGCAGATACTTATCCATCATGCAGTACCGTCAGGGAGGCGTCAGCAGGACAATGACCCCAAACACACAGCCAATGTCATTAGGAACTATCTTCAGGGTCCTGGAAGTGATAGTACAGCCCCCACAGAGCCCTGACATCAACATCATGGAGTCTGTCTGGGACTACATGACGAGACAGAAGGATATGAGGCGGCCTACATGCACAGTAGATATGTAGTTAGTTCTCCGAGACGTTTTGTACAACAGACCTGCTGTGGTCCATGCTGTTTTGAAGGCAAAGGGTGGTCACAACAAATATTGATTTGATTTTTCTTCTGTTTGCTCACTTTGCATTTCATAAATTGATAAAAAAAAAAATAAACAATTAAACTTTATATTTACCTGCTTAAAACTTTGGCACAGTACTGTATTTTACGTAACATTTTCAGTGCAAGTAATGGATGGTATTTGTGGTTTTACTTGAGTAACAAACTGCTCTTGGAGAGATGCATCTACCTTAGAAGCTGCACACCAGTCCAGTGTAAGGAGTGTGGCCTTAAAACAATATTCTAATTAATTTAGCAGTATTTGTGGAGCTATTATAATCCTATAATCCAGTGTGCAATTTGGTGCGTGAAAAATCCCACTGTGGCTTCTTTTTGACACCATGTCGCCTCATGTTACTGAAATGAAATGCTGCAAAACAGCTTTTAAAACTAAGATAGCACAAATTAGATGCACATTATTTAGTGTGTGCAACAGGTGGTTCAGAAAGCTGTGCTGTAACCTGTGTGTGAACATTAAATGTCTGCAGACATGTGACTACCTCGTCCTTCCACACCGGATGAGACAGCTGATTGACCCACAGGCTGATTTGTCTCTCCGGGGTGTCCTTGTCACGTCAAAGCGCAGCTCCCCAGCACAGCCCTGTGTATGTGTATTTCTGCGTGTGTGCCACTTCGCCGCTCGCTCGCCACCAATCTTGAAGCGGAGCATCCTCCCCCTTGCTGCAGCCTGATTGGCCGCTGCGAGCCTCCGCCGGCCTCTCATTGGCCTCACCTGCGGGGTCCTGACGCTGGAGTAGGCTGCATCAGATAGTGTCCAATAATCCCGTGATAACAAACAGGGACGCTCTGACAGCAGTCTGAAATAAACAGAAACACAAAAGCAGCTTGTTTCTGTTTGACAAAGTCACCTGAACATCCTGCTGTTAGTCCGCGTGCAATGGCTCGCCTCGGCTTTCACTGACAGTAGTGAGGTGAGTAAACGACACCGGTTAGAGAGCAAAATAAGAAAGATAACTTCATGTGTTAGCGAGCAGCCTCCACTCTGAGCTAACTTTTCTATCACCGTCCTCTGTATCTTAGTTAAAGCGTCAAAAAACAGCGTTTTAACCATTAAATATGTCACTTTTACGCTTAATTCAAGCGCGTGCGGCGTTTTTGGCGCACGTCCTTCTACAGGTCATGATATCCAGGGGTTTCCTCTAAGTGCACGCGATGCAAATGTTGATGTCACGAGCCGCCACGGCCATTTGTGATGCCGACATGTGATGTTATTGATGTCATTGCTCTCGCGTGCTCTGTGTGCACGTTACTCAGCAGACACTGATAAAGGGATGCAATTTTTGGTCTATAACTAATATTCTCACCGTATTTCTTCAAATTTATGAGAGATTAAAGTGAATATATGATGGTTTTGTGATTAAAATATGAACGACAACCTTCAGTCCCTTGAATGCACCACTAGATGGCACTCTAACCACAGTACAGTGATGGGAGTTTCATATTATGGTCAGATATGACTTCATCATAACACCTTTCTATTTTTTTGCTTGTAGTCTTTTCATATCTTTTCTTTCAGATAGATAGATAAGACGATATTAGGCTACAGACCCATATTATTGCGCAGCATCATCAATTAAAACATTAATGAATACAAACAGTTAGAGCAGCATGATCAGTCTTACTGTATTCTAGTAAAGTATAGTGTAATAAAAAGTATATAAAAGTACTGTACTTGTCCTCCAGTCATTGCACACTGCGGGGTTTGGGGATTGTGCTGAGTATAAGATTAAAAACAAGTAAAGTAAAAGTAATTTGTGAAATTATGATGATTAAAACATTAGTAATAATAGTAATAAACTTTATTTATATAGCACCTTTCCAAACACAGTTACAAAGTGCTTTACAAGAACAGATTTAAAGACAAAGCAATAAAACCAGTTAAAATCACTGAAAGGCAAGTTTAAACAAGTAGGTTTTCAGAAGTGATTTTAAAGATGAGACCGCGTTTGCAGCCCTGATCTCCTCAGGCAGGTCGTTCCAAAGTTCGAGGAGCTCTGACTGCAAAGGCTCTGTCACCTTTGTGAATTAATCTAGATCTCGAAACAAGAAGAAAAGATGCATGTGAGGATCTCATGGTGCGAGAGGGAACCCCTCTGTTATATAACTTGGAGCGAGGGCTCTCAGGGCTTTGTAAGTAGTCAATAAAATCTTCAAATCAATTCTAACAGCAACAGGTAACCAGTGTAGGAAAGCCAGGATTGGTGTGATGTGGTTATGTTTTCTAGTCCTAGTCTAGATTCTGGCAGTAGAGTTTTGGATGAGCTGGAGGCCGGAGAGGGGTTGTTATACTGATGCCAGAGAGCAAAGAATTGTAATACTGGTTATGGATGCATGAATAATAGTTTCCAGATGTTTGTTCAGTAGACAGAAAAATAACTTCGTCAAGTCTTTTTCTTAAGCAAATATGAAAAAAGTCACTGCCTCCGGCCTTTTAAATGTAAATATGAACTGATTTTCTTAGCCCTCTATGAAAGTGAAATGAATATCTTTGGATTTTGGACTGTTGTTTGAACAAAACAAACAACTGAAATTTATTGTATGGCTCTGGACAGTGTGAGGGACACTATCAGGGTGTTAACATGTCCTTAAAAAGTCTTAGAATGTCTTAAATTCAATGTTATAACAATAAGGCCTTAAAAGTCATTAAATAGTCTTAAATTTGAATTTGTGAGGTCTTAACTGCTGCAAACATTTTATCTAATTTCATTTATCCATTTTTTGATTTCTTTTTGTGAAAATGGGCCACATTTCTAATGTTACAAATCTTTAAAAAACTATAATACTGTCATTTTACTTTATGCTTGCACTTCCCTTTGGCAATTTGTAGATTGATTTAACTCATTCTAATAACCATACCTCTGCACAAGACCACATACTACTTGCCAGCGATATATATAAAAAAAGTAAAATATGATTTGTCCAAAAATCTGTCCTAAGTGTGGTTAAAAGGTGTCTTGAACGGGTCTTAAAAAGCATAAAATGTAACTGTCTGATACCTGTAGACACCCTGATCTTTGTTTTTTATTTAATTTTTATCATGGATTTAACATTTAATCAATCAATTAAGAAAATATTCATTAGAATAATCCACAGTGAAAACAGACAATACTTGAAGCCATTTTGGTGAAGATTCTCAGTCATCCAGGTCGTGGTAATCTCAAGTGCTGTAATGTAGGCAACTTGGCTTGCTTGAGTTTCTTGAAGACATTTCGCATCTCTGTTAGTCACTCACTCTATAGCAGGAAACGGTATTTCAAAGTAAAAGCTCTGTGCTGGAATTTCACTGTACCTAAAAATGAAGTATGTTTATTACAAACTTGAAACATTTGCAAGTCACTTGTGGTTCAGTCAGAATCAGATTCAGATTACTTTATTAAATACCCGTAGGTAGATTTGTTTTGCAGTGGGTGGGACCCTCTTTTGGACCGCAACCCACTAGTTGGGAACCACTGCCTTAGAGAAACAAGCAAGTCCAGTTGCCTATGATATAGCTTAGCACTTAAGATTACTTGAAGCCATGGATGGATCACTGAGAGGGCCTACAGATCACAGATTTCAGGGGCCTTCACCTGCAAAATGTCACTTAAATTAACACATACCAACCAGGAAAAGACTTAAGATGACCACAAAAACACAAATGAACTGCAAAGAGACACGAAATAGCCACAAAAAGGGGCAAAACAACCACAAAGAGACACAAAACCACAAAAAGATGCATAACAACTAAAAAAAGCAGGCAAACCACCACAGAGTCTGTGTTTCTTGCTCCCATGTAGGAGAGGTACCTTGTGCATATCTGTGCTCAGGGGCCCATCCTCTCTTGCTTGCAGCGCTAATACAAACAGCAGTACCTCAAGGCATCATTAAAAAATGAATCTCAGGACTGGGATTAAGTCGTAGATTTTCTCAGTCACCAGCAGATGTCAGATATAACTGAACCATGACCAAACAGTAGGGATGAGACAGTGTATGATATTGTTGGACATTGGGATAAAAAGCACACAATAAGCTGACTGTGGTGACTTTCCATTACTGGGATTATTGTGAATATCATGTCAAGCAGCACCGAAAGAGACCAATGGGCAACCAACAATAAAAGAGACTCAGTAAAAATGCATCAACCTCAAAGAACGCAAAGGATCTCATTCAAGTATTGGCATATTTCCTTTAGATATGATACCATTTCAAATTAAGGATAGACCGATACATCGGCCGGCTGATCTATTGGGCCGATATTTGAGTTTTTTACTTGTATCGGCATCGGCCGATACGTGCGTGGGTTCGCGGATTTATTTTTCCCTGGCGCTTTTTTTCATTTGAAAGTATGTGGTTAAGTTGAACAAAGCTGTTGAATCCTACTGTGTACAGTAGTTGTTGTTTTATTTATGCTTTAGCTTAAATATTTGTTTATTTTATAAAGACATTACTGGAAGATTTAAGAGCACTGAANATAATAATAATAATAATAATATTCTACCTGTTCTACCTCAACTTTCCATCTTGTTTTAGTATTTTTTACTGTTCAATAAATGTTTCTTATTTTAAACTTGAGACCTGTAATATTTGTTATCATTGTGTCTTTTTTTTTTTATGTAAATTGAGGGAGCAAAAGCAGTATCGGCCCCAAATATCGGCTCTAGAAAATCGGCAGTCCATAATCGGTCATCGGCTAAGGGTGATGGAAAAAATCGGTATTGGCATCGGCCCTAAAAAATCCATATCGGTCTATCCCTATTTCAAATAGATGAAAAGCCTGGCTTTTTAATATTGTTTGATTTTCACTAAAAAGGATGCTCTAAAAAAGATGTGTTTCCTGTCTACTATGCAATAAAAATATTTGTTTCCCAACACAATGAAGGGTAAAGTCATTTACTGTATGTTTTAGTGCCTCTTAAAGCATAGGATTATTGGGATAATGTAGTGAGCTGTAATAATTTTCTGACATGAAGTCTTCATCATCCGCTGCTCACCAGACAGAATGTTATAATCAAGAGTCCTGACCTACATGTAGATCTAAACATGAAACTTCCACCTCTGTTTCTCTGCATTCCTTTTTTTGTTTGCCTCATTTTCCTCCTGCTCATCTTTACCTGTCACTCCTTCCTTCATCTTCCCTCTCACTTCCTCTCTTTTATCTACCCCATAACTTGTGTGGTATTATCACTGACACCTTGTAATCTTCACGCACCACTGTCTCTCTATCGCCTCATTCTTTTCCACAAACATCCTGCCGGTATATTCACCTTATCTCCCAATCCCAAGTCTCCTAACCTCCCGTCTCTCCCCAGCTCCTAGCCTCTGTGGTCCCTACCTTCCTGTCAGCCGCCTCCTAAAAGGCTTCAACATGCTGCGAGAGAGCTCCAAGGCGTGGAGCAACGGCTCTGAGGCCTACAGCAGCGATCCAGAGGAGGACGAGGAGGAGGAAGAGGAGATGGTGTTCGGGGAGAGCGATCAGGACGGCGTGGCGGAGGAGATGATGGACCTGAGCGACCTCCCCACGGCGCTGTTTGCATGCAGCGTCCATGAAGCGGTGTTCGAAGAAGACGTACACAGGGTGAGATGGAGCAAACTCACTTTCTGGGTCAAATTCTGATGGTGTGTATGTGTGTGTGTGTGTGTGGTGGGTTGGTGCATCAGTCTGTGTACGTTTGAGTCATCCTGCTGAATGTGTCAGCGCGTCCAAGATTCAAAGCCCAGCAACACATGCATGATGTCATCCACAGCTTTCGCTCCTGTCACGGTTTCAAGCTGTGCTGCAGATTGCTCAACTGCAAAGGCGTACACACACACACACACACACACACACACACACACACACCTGATGCTATTATTTATTTATCTGCCAATGAAAATGAATGCAGGGCAGCGGATTACAATATGAATCGTGAGCCATACTCAGCCTGTGCATCTCATTAGTCCATTGCCTAGTGCAGCGCGTTATTCATGCCCACTTATAGATGTGGCATCAAGCTTCATACAAAAAGCCCATTTACAGGCATGTCACACACACACACACACACACATGCTGTATATATTCTAAGGCCTCTCATAGATGTGTCGAGTCTCGCTACTGCATTATCAGACTCCTTAGAGCAGGAACACTTGGGATCACTGGATCCTGTTTGCTGGAGGAGGATACAAAGCAAATACTTTTAATTTTCTGCCCCTCTAATCCAATTATGCTGTCCTACCATCCCTCCATCCATCCAGCTGGCAAGCCTCACATCTTTCTCTTTAAGTCTCGCAGTATTTTATTCTCTGTAAAGTCTATTCATCCAACCATCTCTCTTTACTGTGCGTCTCTAAAATATTTTCCTCTCCACTTTCTGATCGCTTTTTAACTTAACTAACGTTCCCCGTCCTCAGTTCTTTTAATATTCCCCCTCTCCCTCCCTCTTGCTCCCAAGCGTTCTTTATTTATCCTCTCTATGTATATGAATGCAAAGCAGCGAGGCTAAATCTGGCGCATACACAAAATCCCTTTAAATGAATCACTCCCTGCTTTGTGAGTTTGCTGTTTGTACACCCGTTGCTCCCAGCGGTTGGAGTCTGCCCCCTCCCCTCCCTTTTTCGCTCTCTGCCTCCCCACTTCATTACGATTCACACTCCGGCTTTTAAGTGGAAATGCCACCCACGCACCCTTCAGTTGGAGCACGTCAATAGATTGTTCTCCATATGGTTCGATTAAACGAGCTGCTCTAAAAATAGAACTTTTGACATTTGTTTAAACTTTGCAAACGAGGACAGGAAGGGATGAGGTCTGGAAAAACAGGTTGCTTGAGATGTTTTTAAAGCACAAACAGGGACTGTATGAGGTTGTTTTTGGCTTGTAGCAGTACTCTTTGATTCTATGCACACACACATGCACACAACTTATTCTAAAAAAATTTCAGCATTTTCCTAACTGCTAAAAACTTGACATGTCTAAACCCGGTGTCTACAGTGAAGAACAGGGACATGGCAACCTACATTTTTGTGTCTTTGGGCTCTTGGCTCCCTCCCAGCACCGACATTACCTTCTGTTTCTGCTCTCAAAGGCCTGCATGCAGGAGGATGGGCTGTTTCTGTAATCACACTGTGCTCTTTCAGAGAGGGAGGGAGGGACACAGAGAGAGGGAGAGACATGTGCCCCCATATTTATAAGAAGCTCTTAGCAAGCTGTAAAAGCCTTTTCCTTTCTTCTGCATTAGTAAAAAGACAGTAAAACCTAGTGGCACACATTTCTCTTTTATCTGCAGTATTTTGTTCCCCTGACCAGCTTTTATGTCGAGAGGAGGGACGCCTTAGAAGTGCTTACTGTTACTTTAGGAGGTTCAGCTCGGGTCAGGTCGGATCAGCCCACCTCTCCGCTGAAATAACTGGCTTTATTATTCATTTGCTAATTAAAATTAATTCTCAGGATTAAAACAGGGCTGTGCCACCACAGCTCATGATGTGAATGATCTGTCATATAGAGCTTAAATCTTCGATCTCTCAATTAAGATATCAAATACATATTATTTTTCATTTGCTGTTTGTCACTATTACAGACAGATACAACATTAAAGTTAAGGCTGCTGACATTTTATGTTAAATCTCTCTAAAAGGTCAAACGTTCGGACACAGTGTGAGCATCAAAAAGACTATTTTCATGACTGTCTTTCAAAGGACATTGGAGGTTTTCAGAGTAATGATTGTGTTTCTCCCCGCCTCCTTGTCCACCATTCATGGTAGGGCTGAGCAGTGTGAAGATATTACATTGTTATGAAGATATAAGACTATATATCGTCTTAGATTTTGGATATCATTGTATCGTGATAGGGTATAAATGGTGTTTTTCCCCACATTTTACAGGCTGCATTACAGTAAAGTGATGTAAATTTATCAACTTCACAGGCTTTTCTATTTGTTTTAACACTTGCCTCAACCCACTTAATCATTATATCCACATTATTGATGATTATTGGTCAAAAATCTCATTGTAGATATATTTTGGCTCAAGATATTGCTGAAAAATAGCATGATACAATTTTCAGAGCACATCACCAAGTCTTTTCTGTTGCATGAAGAAAACAAAAAAACTTATTAAACTAAAGAAACAAACATATGGGATTGTTTGGAACAACCTTGCAGCGAATATATCCTTCGTTTATTTACCTTCCTGAAAATAAATTTTAATTCGTACATGTGGTTAAATTTTGTAGGGGTTTTTTGTGCCACCGCGCCGGCAACAAGTGTGTGTTTTCTGGTTGTCAGTATATTTGTCTGTCCATACATCCCATTATCGTGACGAAGATATCTCAAGAACACCTTGAGGGATGTTCATCAGATTTGGCACAAACGTCCACTTGGACTCAATGATGAACTCATTTTGGTGGTCAAAGGTCACTCTGACCTCAAAAACATGTTTTGGGCCACAACTCAAGAATTCATACACTAATTGTGACAAAATTTCACACAGTAAATAAAATAAAAGTAAAGGTTATGACATTTCATATTCACAGGGTCAAAGGTCGACTTCTCTGTGATGTGATGTCACAATGTTCTGAAAATTGTTTATTGGTAAAAGATTGTGACAAAACAAAATAAAAGGTGGTACATGCATATACAATATAACAGATGCAATTGACAGACAATAACATAAAGCAGTTATGATGATGTATGTGGTGATATGATAAGAGTCCAGGGCTAGAGATTAGACTCTCTCAGGAAGGGTATGTGTTGGTAATGTGTGTGTGTTCATGTTTTGATGTTTGTGTGTGAAGCAGCTGTGTGTGTGTGTATGTGGTTACTGATTCTAGACAAGTTTGTTTGTTTGTTTATGGGATGTGTGGCGGAGAGGGAGAGAAAAAGGAGCTGTGTTGACGTTAAAGTGACTGGATATAAAGTGATATGGTAATAACATAATCGCCATCATCACAAACAGTACATTACAATATAATAAGCACTGTTGTAGGAAACTTTGGAACTATACACTGATGAGAAGCGAGCCTGGACTGGCACAAGAGAGAGGCAAAGGGGAGGCCACCCCCACCCTGAGCCCATTATTTACCATTATTTAATGCCATAATTCAGAGACAGAAGGGGAGACATTTGGTCAGATAATGAAGCAGTGACACTAATCTTGAAACTGCTGGGTTTCTGCTGCTGCCGAGTTGAAGATGTGTGAGAAGAGGCATCCATGTCATACAAATCAAAGCTTCTTTACAGCAACATCTATATTTCTTCATGTCTACTGTCATGGCTACATATGAGTCTGGACAGACATGGATGTAAACTGTAACTGCAACTTGTCTGGTTCACAGAGGCATACAACCACATGGTGGTAATCATTGTTTTTTTTAATGTTCTAATATTTCTTAATGTCAGCTGTGCAATGCCCTAGGCAAGTGGTTCCCAACTGGTAGGTCGCGGTCCAAAAGTAGGCCATGGGTCCATTCTGAATGGACCGCAAGTGACTCGCAAAAGTGTCAAATTTGTTAAAAAAAACACACTTTTTTTTAAGTGCAGTGAATTCCCTGCACAGAGTTTTTATTTTCCAACTGTAGAGTGAGTGACTAACTGGACGGATGTGTGACAGAGTCATAAAACTAGCTCAACGACATGACCAAACGCATGTATTGAATTGTGTGCGCCTTGAACTAACGAGTAAGGAGAAATCTGGACCCCATGGCTGGACCAGTTGGGAACCACTGTCCTAGATGAGATGCCTGCCAAGCTGTGATCACTGTCACAAACTGGCTCAATGAATGTGACAAGTGGGGAGTCCGCACAAAAGATTTAGTTAAAACAACCATAATTTATTAAACTAACCTATAGGAGCTTAAATAACCAATGGAGTGTGTAGGTCAGCAAAGTCAGCAATGAAAGCCATGCATGTGTGTGTGTCAGGTGTGCAGTGGAGGCGTTGACGATGCAAACCAAAGCCCAGGTGAGGCCAATCAAGGCAACCCACTCACTGTTTTTTAGTGGCTTTTTAGGCACCAGCTTAGGTGTCATGTAGCAACCTGTCACTGTTTGTTCAGCAGGGATAGTGCTACAAAAAGCAGCTGTTTTCCACCAAGACATCCCTGTTTTTCCAGTGGGGATTGTGCCCCCCTTGAATTGGGTATTTTAAGCCAAAACGTGATCTTTTCCTAACCATAACCAAGTGGTTTTCGTACCTAAACCTAACCACGTTAACCAAAACCTTGTTGAAATTTAAAGTTTCAAAATATCCACCACATAATAACAAACAAATGTAACGTATCTGTGGTTTGTAGAAAGTAAAATGGCAATATTTTCACCGGTTATTGGGCTACAAATGCCTGTCCCTGTCTTGACAAAGTTTGGTGGACTGTGTGTAGTCACTTCAGACAAGACTTTGTTGTTATATTCCCAACCATGTTATGGGAATGTTGTCATTATAAAAACCAAACCAAAAAAAAATATATAATTAATCTCTACTGAGTCATTTCAGATATGATTTGGAAAATGCTGAGTCGTTTATACCTCCAATTACCTTCCTCAGACTGGCTCTTATTGTGGCTTTAGTGCTGATCAACTACATTCAGCTTATGAATACCATTAACAGCA